CATGCCAGAATTGCATGATAATGATCATATAAAGATGTGCCTTTACCTGACTGGTTGGAGAAAAAGCTTCTTATATTCGTTAGCATAGCTAGCTAACCAGATGCTAATAACAACAAAGTTATTGACTGTATGATCAGTATGACAGATGAACAGATCGCCACTGGGCTTTCAACTAAAGACACAGCCACGCAGAAACTGCGGCATGTGTACGGCTCCTTATTGGTACTGCAATTTTTGGAAGTGGTGGAGCGGCGTTCTGGTGCTCTCCGTCAGAACTGCACCCCTTTCAGACGAGACATATACCACGTGATGACGCGCTAAGGCTCGTGTTGTGTTCAAGGACCCTGACCTTGGCCAGGAAAAACAGGCACTCGCTTTTTTTATTCTTTTGCGGTCTAGATTTTTTGCGTGTGTTTATAAATTACCTCGAGGGCCGTATCAAATGGTCTCGCGGGCCGTATCAAATGGTCTCGCGGGCCGTATACGGCCCGGGGGCCGGAGGTTCCCCACCCCTGCACTATATGATAGACACTATATGATAGACACTATATGATAGACACTATATGATAGACACTATATGCCACTTGTTTAGTTTTTGTACTTGGAGATCAAGGAAACTAGTCTTTAGTCTTTAATTCTCAGCTATTGTTGACCCAGCCCATTGTTGACTCAGTGTGGGGCTGGGTTTGAGCCTCAACTACTGCAGTGATAAGGTATGGCCTCTACTGTAAATCAGAATTTGTCCAAAACAAATTCATAAACAACTTTCTTTCAGAATAAAATAGATTAGAGTTGCTGAGGGTCTGATGACCAAAGACGCCATCTGTGACGCCCGTCTTATCTGTCTGAGCCGTTCTGGAGCCAGGTCTCTGTAGAAGACATAACTTGTTTTGTCTTGTTGATAGCATGTGCATTTTCCTCTTTGGGTGTGTTTAAGTAGCAGGGCAAGTTGAGAGAAGCTTCAGATTTCGCAAGGTCAGAAACTTGAATACATCTCAGTGAAGAGGCTTTTGTAATTTGTCACTTTTCTGGCATCAGTTATTCTGTTTTATCATTGCGTTTTCTTGAAGGACCATAGTTTGTAATATATAATGTGTATAAAGTAACGAAAATGGTACCAATCAATATTTAGGCTGCAATAAGTTTTAAAAGGTAAGCCATTTTCTAATCTTATCCCTCCTTCCCACATGTTTGTGTGGGCATGTCCTTCCTAAAGCAGCTGATGGCATGCAATCCAAGCAGGTGTCAGACTTGCAATAATAAGCTTAGAATAATATTAAGATTACAGTAAATGAAAATGATTAAGTCAACAGCTTTAAAATCACCTTTCCACAAATGAACGGACTAAATGTATAGATCACAGTAAGAGCATCCTTTAGTTTAAGTAGAGCTGAATTAAGGTCAGTGGGTAACACAAGCCAAACAGAAAACAAAACGTATTAAGTATAATAAACGTGTGTTTGCCACAGAGCTTATTTTCTGCAACATTTTGAGAAACAATGGGGAAATCCCATTGGTTTTTGTCGAGGGACCCCTTGTGATGCTAACTTCTGGGTCGGCCTACAAAAATACTTCATCACTTTAAACGTTGAAAAATGATTTATTTAATGTCATTTAAGAAGTCACCTATCAAACATTCGATACGTCATTTTCAACAACCACCTCAAAGCCATGTTATCTCTATGACAGAAAAACAAAATCCAATTAACACGTGACGACTTGGATTACTTGTCAGTGAACGATATTTAATTAAAAGTGGAAACTTTGCCGTTTATTAGCATTCAGAACAGTGGATTCAAGCAGAAAGGAACTCTTTAGACGGGTGAATGCTGAGAGGAGTTTGATGAGGGGGCAGAGAAAAACACACTAATTTGTGGCAGCTGAAAGATGACGTCAGTGTGGAGGCCACATGCAGGGAACCCACTGCCCTACTGTACAGAGAGGAAGAGACAGAGAAAGACAGAGAGAGACTGGGACATGTTGCCACTGGGCCATGTGTCACAAAACCGTTTTAGAAAGGGGTCTGCTGTGACACCATGTGGTGTAATGCAAAAGATCATGCCTAGTCAAGTCATAAGAAAGTCATCTTTGAAGCAGATGGTAAATAAAGAAAAACACTCTTTTCACAAGCTTTCAAACTGTCATTCCTTACCTTCCTTAAAGAGATGATATTTAACATTTCTGCTCTCAAATATGTTGTTGTTTTTTTTTTAAATGGCTTAGGTTGTTGAATTATGTACTTGAAAAAGTTCCAATTTTCAAAACCGGAGAAATAAGAGATCTTCAACAAAGTAATAGTTCAGTACAGTTATAAAAGGAAAAGATGCAAAGCAAATGGTAGCCTTTAGCTTGCAGACAGTCCATGCTATGGCTACCGAAATGCATCAGAGAAACTTGTTTTTATGTGAAGACGCTTTATTCTGTTTTTATTCCGGTTTGAATGACCTGTTCTGTTTATTTAAGAGGATGAGAACACCGCACTCTTACATGTTGCCACCAAACTCTGTCTTTTGTTATTGGTTTGATTGAGAGAACGCTAGTCCGGCAGTGGCTCAGTCAGTAGACCTACGGCTCACAGTCCAAGTCCCCGAACAGACCTAAATATGGAGTGTGGACTGCTACTTGGAGAGGTCCCAGTTCACCTCCTGCCCTGCCGTGGTGCCCTTGAGCAAGGCACCGGACCCCCTCACTCCCATTGATCCCCGGGCGCTGTGCAATAGCTGCCCACTGCTCCTAGTACTAGGATGGGTTAAATGCAGAGGTTACATTTCACTGTGTGTGCTGTGTGCTCTGCATGTGTGACCATTAAAGAGGGTTTCATCCCTCCGATTCTATCTATTGGCAGAAATGTTATATTGTGTATTTGACTGCTGTTTAACTTTGTTGTCTTATTGAATCGACTACTTTAGTGCTCAACAAAAAAGTGCTCCTTTGGTCATATTCAGCATTCACTACAGATAATATTCCCTTTCCGTTCTTCTCCCGAAGTAAATGAAAGAAGGGAACAAGTACTTTATACACTATGAGCTTTTAGTGCTATGCCAGTGTGCCAATAACACCGAGACCTAGCAAACAAATTAAGAGATTAAGAAATAATTTAGAAAAGAATTGAGGGGCGGGCCAGAACAGATGGCCATTGACTCATGGTGACTCACTGTTTGATAAGAGTTAACTGAAATAGCCCAATAAATAAGAGGGAGTGCCATTCTGTCAAATTCAAAACACCCACACATGCATTTAGCTAACTACCCTGTTCAAGTCACCTAGTACAACGTCCATTGGAGTATTGTGACTTCATTAGTTAGCTATACACAAGACAGCGACATTGAGTAAAGCTTTTCAATTTGTATTTGTTTAATTATAAACAGCTGACTTGAAGGTAACAGAAGGCCTGGCAGAATGAGCAGGATTTGGGGCACAGAGGGTGCCTTTGGTGAGTGTCACCAGTTGGCAACCTCCATGTCAACATGGCTGTGACTCCTTCAGAACGAGCACGCACGCACGCACGCGCACGCGCACGCGCGCACGCACACACGCACACACACACACACACACACACACACACACACACACACACACACACACACACACACACACACACACACACACACACACACACACACACACACACACACACACACACACACACACACACACACACACACACACACACACACACACACACACACACACACACACACACACACACACACACACACACACACACACACACACACACACACACACACACACACACACACACACACACACACACACACACACACACACACACACAGTTCTGAACTCGGATAGATCATACGCACATCTACTACTTCCCGTTTACCACTTTTATCAATATCTATTTTAGGGCTGCAATGCAAGAACAATCATAAGGCTGGGCCAAAACTTCATGAACAACGACCCTTTTGGCTGAGCGGCCTCTCTGGAGGGTTATTTTTATATGGGGACATACTGATTCATTGGCAGGACATCAGTATTGGCCACTGTCTGCCCTATGGTAATTGTATGACAGACTAAAGAGGGTCAAAGTCATTCTTCACGAAAATATTCTTTCTCTCGTGAAAGAATGTTTCATAAATGTGTTTGATTAGATTCTGTTGTGCTTTATCAAAGTTAGTGTGATGAAGGGCTGAAAGACAGCATAATATTTGTTATAATGAAGATGTATTTGTTTCCCTAGTAGAAAAGAAGAATAAAACCCAGGTAAACAAAACTGAAAAACATGGCTTCGATGTCAGCATAAATACGAGTAACCCACAATATGGTAACTACCAGTATGCTGGAAGAATTGGAAATGTAAATGCAAATTATTACCATGTTTTCTGGGATTGCACTGTCTGTTAATATTTTTAGAGAGAGATACATCATGCCATACAACAAGGGTTTTCAGAGTGTGAGACTGTGGGCCTCCCCTTAGACCAAGCTAGGAGAATGTATTGTTGTTAAAGGCATCAATGGAGTCTTTCTAAGGTGTGATAATGATTCAGGGCAAAGGGTACAATGATGGCTAATGAGAATCCCTTTGAAAGAAAATCTAAAATATGCAGTTTATCTCAATTACATCAAATCGGTCTATGTTGCCATGCAGACAGCATAAAAGGAGAAATGTATATACATTTACTTTGGACCAAGGCTTCATTTGGCAAAACATTTTTTTTAATAAATCCTAAAAAGTTAAATAGATTGTTGGTTAGTTAAATGACCATATCTTACACCCTTTAAGTACATGGTGAAAGGCATGTTTTTTAAGGTAACAGCTCCTAGAAATGTCTGTACAGTGCCTTGCTGCAAGTGGTACAAATGCAAGGAGGTATGAGCCTTTATCCTAACCAATACATTGTGCTGCAGACTTTCTGTGCATTTATCAGACACTTGATACTTCATAATACACATATACACTGCTTATTCAGCAGCAAGGCTTCCAGTACAGAACTGAGTGACCACAATATTCCCAGCCAGACATATGAAAGTGTACTCACAGCTGAAGCTCTTCTTCTTGAGCCAGTGGTAAAAAGAAATGCGGGGAACTCACGTCAGCAGACTGTCGGCCTGAAAGACGTACAATGCACGGATAGATTACAGATTTCTTGGATCCCATATCACAGCAAAAAAAAATAAAAAATATTATGGCCAGCAGAAAAAGTATGATTGATGAGCAACAAGAAATTGTAACATTGCAGGCCCTGCAATGTTACAATTTCTAAGGGCCAACATTTCCCTCTGACAGGCTTAGGAGGGGAACAAGTATATATTTATAAGTATTGTCAATTTAATCACAAAAATAAATCACACATAAATGCTTGCGTTATGCAAAATGTATGCTTATTATTTTGCAACAATCCAAAACTAAGAAAATGTTTAGTTAATTTAATAGTCATGTTCTGCCTTGGCCGAGGGGGACATGGGCTCCCTGCAATAGCTGTATGTTTAGCCTGCAAGTGCTATTTTTTTTAGACTCAATACTAGGGATGGGTATAGTTAGGATTTTATCGATACCAATACCGATATGGCTTATCGATACCGGTATTTTTCGATACTCTTATCGATACTTTTCAATAATTATAGACATGATTACAAGATGTGAAGACAGTCATTTTATTGTAATGTATTTTTATTTAATGTAACTTTTTCAATGTCATACCAAGCAGGTATGAGTGTGTTTGACAGTGTGTCTCTGGAAGGGTGTCGGTAATTAGGGGCAGTTCATAAATCCATGTAAACATGACCATTATTCAGTTAAAACGAGACGCTGCGTGCGCACCTCCTAAACCGGAAGCTCCGGTCGGCTAACCATTATAATCCCTTTATTGCGTTTATTATTTATAATTGTAATGATGGATTATCAGTAATCATTTTAAAGTTACACAGAGACATTGGATTAACCGTTTGTATGCCCTTGAACACAACTTTTGATCCCAAAACAGCAAAGGTAAGACATAATTATCATCATGGCTACGTAAAGTGAAGTTGTTTTATTGCTCTTTCCTGGCTGCTAGTTCAGTGAGTGTTGGTCGTACAGTGGAATGGAATCTGTGGAATCTCAGCTTTCATGTGATATGTTGTTTGTGCATATTGCATGACGTAGAAAATATCGCTTTTGCCAGTTATGTGCTAAAGTGGCCGTTAGCCCCGTTAGCCCGTTTCGCTAAGTGTTGATTTAGACTCTTGGTGTTGGACTTCTGTTCCGTGTAGGTAAAATGGTTAATATCGTCTCTTAGCTGAGTTTCTTCCCGTTAAGTGGGTATGCATCATTAATAGGTTGTTAAATGTTAAGAAGCCTTGAGACGCTGTTTCTAGCAAGATGTTGCGTCTGCCCCTATGGTCTGCCCCCGGGAGTCTCACAATAATAAGAGCGCTGTTAGGAGAGATGACGAGTGGCATTCACAGTGGCCAATCAGAGTAGTACTCAAACCGGATACTTCACACGGGATGAGGGTTCCCAACCAACCAGATTGTTTAAACTAAGGCAGTAGCGTAATTCATATACCGATAGCAGCACCGATAGCAGCACCGTTTGTCCAGCGGCTTAACGGTATACCGATACCGTCCAATCGGCTACCGGTACTGACTTAGTACCGGTTCTCGATACCCATCCCTACTCAATACTCCAGTAGTAACTCAATTGACATTGACAATAAATGCATATAACTTTAGTCTTGTCGAGAGAACCATCTGGCAGGGATTTGAAGCTGCATTTGCCATGCAAAAGTACCTTTTGCATATTTGAGGCTTGTTTCTGCTTGCCATTAACATTACTGCTCCTTTGTTTCCCTGATTTGCCAAACTACAGTGTAGGCCAAGTCATAATCAAAGATCATGCGTGTGTTAATCACCTTTAAAAAAAAAAAAAAAATTGCTGTTAAAAGGAATTCAGTGTTTCCCCTACCATTGTCTTGGAGGGGCACTGCGCCCCGCCAACGGAGCCCCGCGCCCCCCCTGAAATTCAAGGTGTTTAAAAAATAATAATAATAATAATAATAATTAAAAAAAAATGTATATATCAATTGGCCTTAACTCAATATTATATTAACTTTGAAAGCCCATATAGTTACACAAGATTATATAAGAGTAAGTCAGTACTTTTGAAACAAACGACTTGAAAGAAAGTGTGAAACTTAAACTGAAAAAGCTGCCGTTGTTTTTCTCTTCACATTAGGAACCTAGCACATTAGCGACCAAATGCATGACTGTTATTACAATCACAGTTCAAATTACAATCTAAGAGACAAACACAAAATTCTTTCTGCATTCGCAATCTGCCATATATTTTTTTCTATTTCCGTTTCCAATATGACCAACACTCACCCGGTCTGCAGCATGGAGCAGTAACGGCGTGTATTCATCATTTGGAAGAGGAACATCAGTGTTCCGCAACAGAAATGGCAGTACAGTAACAACATCACCAGCAAAGCCAGTAAGTGAGTCATCAGTCTGGAAGCCAAAGCCTGTGTATGTGGCCTGTTGTTTCAGTACTGACTGAGAATAAAAGGACAGTGGCCGCTTGAGTTCACATCACATGACCGGGGCACTACAGAAATGCTATGAACTATGGGCTTAAAAAGGGAAGTGCACATGGGAAATTCCTTCCCAAAACAAAAACATGATAGTACATCACACCATGTAAATAATTGTCACTGTGTGACACCAAACTCCTTCACAGCTCTAAAGAATGATTTGTGCCACTGAAACAGCATTGCAAGTGCAGGAATACTTTCAGTTTCTCCTAGGGACACACAATACAATAAGTATGGGGAACAGAAATGAATAGCCGGTAACATAAAATTAATATAGTTACGTAGAACTCAAAAAATGTAAAGTAAAGTCCATAAATAATTGGCCATACAAATCCAATTGCTTTTATTGATTTACCAAGTATTGCATCTACTAGGGCTGTACAATTAATATAAATACATTGTAACAGAGTAGCATCTGTATATTCTGATACAATAGGTGCAGTATGCACCTTTAAGTTGCTTTGTGATTCGCCCAACAAACAGAGAAGAAAAACAAAAAACACAGCACACACTTCTAATTCACCTGCTGATAATGATTATATATTGATTATTCGATCAGCAATGGCAAGCAGGTTATTATCAAATTGACATCAACTGAAAAAACTCAAAATGTATTCCTTGTTTCTCCTTAAATTACCCAACTTAATGTACAGTATATCATCGTGTGGTAGATGCCAAATACCTTATTGTGGAACTGTCAAACGGTGGTATCTTTAATATTAGTTTGAAAGGTGTTACCACTAACATTTAGAAGATGAATAGAAAACAATTAATCATCCCCAGACGCCCCTCTCACATCGATTTTAAAAAGGTCAGCATTTAGTCCCTGTATTGATAGTCAACACATTCAGTCCAAACTGAAATGTGATGTTGATTTGTCCTCGACGGTGAAATAAAGGGCCTGCCTAGTGCCATTTATTGGTTGACCTTATTTAACTCAAGACTTCATTGATAAATGGATAGTGATGGATTGTGGCATATAAACATAGCACTCGGTTGATGGACCAAACATGCAGCCCTTCTATTGCTATGTTAATGCAGGTTTACATCACAATAAAAAAAAAAAATGCACTTCTTTCCCCACCACCCAAATCGTATCTGTCCAAAACGTATAGTTTTTTAATTGATTAGCTTTTCTAGTGAGGGAAATGGGAAAGTCTTCTATTTCCTACTGATCATCATCATCATTATTATACCTCATGGCAAGTGTCCCAAACGTTATGCAGGCTGTATCCAGGGCAGCACATCATTATTTCAGAAATTCAGACGAAACACACTGGCAAAACTGAAGTCGGCTGACAAAAGGAAGAGATGCCCACAATGCAAAGTCCCGAGAGAGATGAAGAGCACAGCCTACGTACAGACAAAAAGCCTACGTGATGTGACTGAATCAAAAGACCTCTCAGTGCAACTCAAGATATTTCACTGGCGATTGTGTTTCTTCGAAAATAGCTTGTGTACAGCTCAAATGACGGAAACCTGCCACCTGGCATAGCAAAACCTTGTTTTTTATGCAAACCTGTCGAACAACGTACTCCTTTATCATTAAGCATGATTAACTTAAGATATACTGGTCAAATATGCACACAACATAAGACTGTAGCCTATATGGGAACAACTTTAAAATGTCGCGAGAGTTTATTAGGTTACTACACTATAAAAGGTCGACATAACTATATCATTATTAATAAATGTACAACATTGTTGCTAGATATTGAGAAATATGTAAAGTATCTTTCACTCGGTACGGTTAAATGCAGTCTTACCGGAGGTGTGCTCGCTGTCCCACGCGCTGATGCGGTCGTGCTGGTCCACCGTTGTCTCCTGGTCCTCTGAAGCACGCGCCCCTTTTTATCAGGCTCCATTTGTGCCATTCGCGCTCGTTCCCCTTCCCTACTCCGTAAGCGCATCGATTGGCTTCGACACCGACGACGCAAATCCTCCCGTTTACCAATGGCAGGCGGTGCCCTCCCCCTCCCTGCCTTCCCACTACTGCTGCCGGACTGGCGTCCATTTGGTTCCCCGCCAGAGAGCACTGACTAACTGTATGGATGTATATGTGCCTCGCCAGCTTTAATGGGGCTCCTGTCCTCCGGCTCTCTGTCTATTATTGACTACCTGATATGTTTTAGTTGATTGTCTCTTTACAGTATAGCTCTGACGTGTAGAGGGCTGGCCCTATCATTTTGGTGCCCCTAGACCGGATTCTGTTTGTGGCCCATAAACATTGTGACATCACCATGTCATGCAATACAAAAAACGTGTATGTTTTCTCATTGTGCAATTAAACTTAAAAAGTTCAAATGTGCATAATGAGAAAACATGCAATGCAATGGTAATATAGATAAAAGCATATGTACATTGTAACGTAAGATGAGCTGAAAAAAACACCACAGCCCACTGGTTGTAAAATAACCAAAACAATTATTTAACTTTATTTGAAAACAATAAATAGTTGGTTGGTCAAGAAACTATTGACAATTGCAAATCATTAAAAATAATAAATTGTACAGTCAACATATTTAAACTATAAAAGCAACAAACTCATAGAATGAAAGCCTATTATTAAAGCCGGTATTCTGAAACTATTTAGGGCATTTTTGTTTAACTTTTAATATGTTATGTATTAAATAAACCAAAAGACACATTTAATGTTACAAGAAAACATTGGTAGCTAGCTAACTGGGTTGAAGTATACAGGTCAGATTTAATTTTTGCAAACCTATGATTATATGCTAAGTAAATGATCACTTCCCTATTAATCATACTTTCCACTGTTTTTATTTAGTTGTTCTCTTTTGTCATATATATTGAAAATGGGGCATTTCAGACAAACATACAGACATGATGTATGCAAACATTTTAAGACTCATTTGATGAAGTGGTTTTTGATGCTGAAAGTCTATGTTAACAAAAGATTTCAGAAATAAAAATGTAGCATTATTTGAAATGCTATGGTATATTCATAGAATGCTCATTGTTTTTGATTTAATCAACCTATGTTACTATTCTGTACTGAAGTGGCACCCTGACATACACCGTTGTTGTGTTTTTCTTTATATAGTGCAGCAGAAAATGTTACAATGAACAGTAATGCATTGTGGGAATTTGCATTTTGTTGTGCTAGATTGAGGTACGTTGCATTCCATTGTGATGCAGCGCTGCATTGTTCAGCTCCGGTTGTGCCATGTTCACTGTGTTGTGTGTTGCATTTGGCCGTGTGGCTGCACATTACTGGGAGCATATGTTGAGGTATACGAACTGTTGAAATTGATTGTATCACAGTAACACCCAACAACTTAACATTCTGTTGTGTGCCTTATGATGAACTCTGTGTAGTGCTCAAGGCCAGACTCAGAAGTCTTTTAGAATATTCTTGATGCACTTGCTGTTGCCAGGCAACAGCTGTCCTGGATTGGAAGTGAATGGGTGTCCCTGGCCTCTCTTTTTGTTCATCTCCGTCTTTACCTTCATCTTCTTTCCTCTCAAGATGTTCTTCTTTATGTTTCTTGCAGGGTGTGAGAATGGCAGTATCACATTCAAGCAGTCTCTCTCACTCAGTAGACAGAAACGGGCCATGAAGGGGGTGTTATGGGTTTTCGGACAAGGCACAACTTCTGATTTCCTAAATGAATGTTACTGATGAAAGCAGGGAGAGTGGGTATTTTTTTCTTACCTAGGTAAGTAAGCCAGGGTTGATCAATCAACACCTTTTTTTTATGGAAGATGAAGACGGCTCCTCTTCTCAGTACAAGACATCTCTCTGTTTTTTCTTTTGGACTTCACAAATCTTACCGTGAAATTCACCGTAATTAACTGGTCGCAATTGACAATAAAACTACTGTAAAATAAATCTTCTACTGATTTTTTCAGTGATAATTATGTACTTGTATAACAGTTTTGTACTATGATTTATGGACAGGACATTTGCAGTGTGAACCAGCACAACCCACAACAATTCAAAATCATGTTTTTTGGACATGGAGACTCAGGGCATTACCAATAGAATCTGCAAAGGCCAAACCCTGGGTTAACTATAACATGGTAGCCCGCTAATCTGGGAGGAAAGTGACCCTTGGCTTTTACACGGTTCTGGGGTTGGAGATTTTTTTTAAGTACTTCAACCAAAGCCTTTATTATTTAAGTGGTGCAGTGGATTTAAACTCTGCCAGGATTATCAGTGACAGAATGGTAATGGGGAAGATGGCACCCCACAATTTGCACAACCCAAGATGGATAAGGTTATCGAGAAGCGATGTATTGCAAACATTACCGCAAATCAAGTTCCCATCCAGATGCAAACTGATAAACATGCATGCCACATGTCCACAAGCCCTTGCCCTTAAGGCCTCAAGAATTTTCAAGGAATTCATTCGGCACTTATGCATTTCTAGCAATGCTTTGAAATGCATTTCAGCCGTCAGCAATCACATGATTTATCTAGAAGTTTATTATGAATCTCTACAGTAATTAGTGACTGCAATTCTCTATCAGGCATTATCGGTTACTGATTTGTAATTATTACAGTCCCTGTAACATCATAGCATTACTTTAAGAGGGCACATATCTTTGCTGATGTAATAAAGTAGTAACTGAGTTAATCTCGTGAAAATTATTAATAAGAAACATTATTTATTTGTGGAAATCAACACATATCGCAATATATGATACTGTATCAATATTTTCTTTCATCCATAGACTACTGTCACCCCTTTCTTTTATCAACCTCAGAAAACAAGCATTTTCATGCAGCAGATACATTATGTATTGGACACATACCGTATTGAAAATAATATTCATAAGGGCTTTTCTTTGCACAGCAGCACTGATGCAACCTCTCTGTGGGATGTTAGCCAAAACATGCTCCGTTATACGCCTTCTGAAATGCAATCACTGAAGACGAGTAGCACAGATGTTTTTTCGTACAAATAAGAAATCTCTTGCAGAGTGGATTGTTTGTGGAGAAAACACACTTGGCTTAACATGCAAAGTGGTGATGCACGTGATCAAAGGAGGAAATAATTGTGTTTCAGTTGTACACAGTTGCTGCACGGTTGATTACCATCATATCCTATTCAAACCTAAATAGATAATGTTGTCTATTATCAGTGTTTTGTCATGCAGCTTGCTCACAACTGGCAATGGTGTAGATTTGTATTCAATATTCATGTGAAAAGATGTTGGAAAAAACCAAACACGCAGGGAGGCAGCAGATGTTTTTCAGTGAATACTCTATGTTGTTTGTGCAAAACACTGGCTGTTTTCCACACTGCTTATTCAATATTGCAAAATGTTTCAATGATTCAGCAGCTGTTTGGATCAGAATTTCTCAGTCAGGTCTCAGGTTGTCTCACAAAGTCTGGCCACACAGAAATTAAACTAACACACTTCAAATTCAGTCTCCACACACATCACTTCCCCAGCTGGTGTCTCAAGGGAGGTGATTACAGAGGTTTGCTACAGTCACTAATGCTTCTGTACATAACCTATAACATAACATAATGACATCACTATGTAAAACTCACGCTTCTATTGGATAGCATTATAGGCTCAGGGATGGGACATCTCTTAGTGGTTGACTAATCACAACAGAGCCTGCCTGCTGACCAATCACAACAGAGCCTGCCTGCTAACCAATCAGAGCAGACTGGGCTCTGGTTTCAGACAGAGGGTGAAAAGAGATGCTGCAGCACAGGCAGTATGAGAAAAATAAAGAGCTTTTTGAACATTAAAGCATGGCGACATTTCACAGTAAAGGCACAAAATACAAATATGAACCTGATAATGAGCGTAACTGGGCCCCTTTAAAATGTACACCAAAAAAAAGCGAGGGAAATGTGTTTAGAAGGGTCAGCAGTGTTTGCAACTGCAGAGTTACTGATTTAAGTAGGACGACAAGAGGGAAATTGACTTAAGATCAAGATCAAAATAAAATGCCTTCACTTGACATACAGCTGACATCAAGTTTACTACACTAGATGTCACTTCACACACAAAAGCGGGGACAAATATGATACACGTTATATTGACAGGGCAGGCACTTGATCTCCGGAGATTAGCATTGGCTTATGTTCTCTTGTTTTTCCAAGAAAAACCAATTTTTGCATGTAAAACGTTGACCATGTCCAACTGTTTTTTTTCAACCAGTAATAACTTTGACTGAATAGATGTTATAGTGTTGTGAAAGATATGTTGACATATAGAGAGTGGTGCAGGAATGAGTCCTAAATCTAGGAAATTAGTTAGCATTTAACCACTTCTGGTTGCCTCGACTTGAAGTAAAAGGTTTTTAAAAAAATATTTGTTGGTTAGATGCGTGGAATAAGATCTGGTTAACACAAGTTTAGGAGATGTTCACATTTTGTTCTAGAACATCAAATATGTCAGTTTTAACCCCACTTGTGAATGTCAGAAGCTATTAAAAGTATTAAAAAGGCGGTTGCTAACAAGTGACTAAATGAGACTACTAAACCTCATCACGCCAAACATTAGCCGCCTTTAGCTCAGCATTGGTGACGCACAGTCATGAGACCGTGATGTAGCTTGTTTATAGCCTTACGGTAGCTTTTTCCTCTGCTATTTACATTTTTGCTACAAAAACGTGTAAGTATCATAAATGTGTGTTTACCACAAACCTTGTTTTCTGCAATATTCCCAAATCCAATGGAAAAATCCTCATTGCTACTTCCATCTTTGCCCTACTAAAATACACCATCACATTACCAGCAATAAACAGAAACGAGTTTGTTTCACTATGCAGAGAGTTTTAATCAATGTTAGAAAAC